GATGTATGGTGCTTCCATTGGGAATGTTCGCTTTCTTTTTCTTTCGGCTCACTTTTCTTGCTACCCACCCTGCTACCTTATAACCCCTGCACGGTAATGCCGAGTTAAGGGGGTTTCGGCTTACTGTAGTTTCGTTCTCTCCGGGTTTCCTGTTTTTCAAGGAAGCGATCAGGATAGCCATTCTCTCGTAAAATGCTTCTTATTTGTTCATTTTGTCAACTGACAAGTCCGAGGGGGACAGATGTTTTGTGGTAATCTTGCTGGGCAGTTTACCAAGTCTTTCTGTTATCTGTATGATGTGAAACTATCGAAATTGGTGTATTGCCCCTTCCAAGTGGGTTTTTTTAGATGTTCCGAGGATAAAATCTATCTGAGTTTCTTCGTGCAAAGATATGTAGCAACGTGATGCAGTCGTTTAGTTGCTTTCCAATTTTGAAGGTGATGGATTGAACACTGTTAGATGTTTCCATCATCGCTACTCTATCTGATGGCTTATTCGCATCATTGTTGAGGATGAATTGTATATCAAAAGTGCATCAGAGCAACAATTCCTTGAGATTATTCAATGGTATTATAATGTCCGAATGATGATTTGTCAGAAAGGTACAGAAGTAATAGATGGTTTCCACTAATCGGACAGTTCAGGACAAAGGTTTTGGTAAACAAATGTTCTATGAGAAAATATTTAACTAGTTGCGCTGATCGATAAAGGGGAGTACCTATAAAGTCCCTCTTATTGGATCGAGAAATCGAGTCAGGTATTTCACTATGGTACGATTTCGAGAAATGTCTTCCCTAGTGTTAACCTCGGTGGTCGATTTGGCTTGAGCTTTTGGGGAGTCCGTAGAGCCTCGATATATAACACACATGGTGTTTCAACTAGTGAATTGTAGCAGGACCTACCAGTTTTCCTTCACTCATCGATTTCGAACGTTTTGTTATTTGTTGTTAAGCATCTTCTGTTCTGTTCCTCCTTTGGTTTCACTCCGGAATTTGCGATTGTCGGCGAGAGACCTATTCATCTTGTACAGATATTCCGGCTTTTCAGTGGTACAATTCACACGAATTGATGAAGTTCGGATTTCGTTTTAGCTCTCTCAGCTTTTGCATGTTTGAACAACAGTGAATTTCCGTGCTTTGGTTTGCACTTATGATAGCGTTGCGCACGATTTACAAACTTATTTCATCAAGTACAAAGTGCATGATTTGGTGAAGTTTTCCAGTCCCCCAAATTCTCAAAAAGCACTTTCATTTCCGGTTTGTTTATCCGGCTCCCCGGGAAACGGAATGATTTATGATTACCAGCATCTTCATGTTCCCTGTTAAACAACCTACCTACTTTATACACTTTTAGAGTTCAAAACCCTCTAAAGGTGTTCATTTAATTCCCCAAAACTTTGTTCTTCCAGAGGAGAACCATCACAAAAGGTTGACGTGTTGTCTGCCATTCTGAGCAAATGGCGTCGAATTACTGCGGATAAACCCTGGGGTGAAGTCCAACGTTTGGTTGCGGATGAAATACTGCGACTGGAATCGGGTCAAATACCTCCCACTGTCCGAACCTCTCGCGCACCACGTCATCGATCAACCATGACTCCTGGTTCAGGAACAGAACAACCACCGTCAAACGCTAGAGAGTCGGTTCATCGCAGCGATGCGCTCTAACTGTTATTTGTTATTTCTCTCACAAACCAGAACATTAACACCTCCGCTTGCTCGATGGTTCTGTGTTCTCCCACATTTGCCTTCTCTACTTCGTTTGTCACCGGCACGAGAAGACAAAGTCGATCATTTTCGTGAATAAGGACATCTTGAACTGCTGGTGTATTTTCGACCGAAGTAAATTATACTGCAACTCGGTGAAAAGATTTAATTTTTGCATACAAATACGTGAGTACAGCGTAGAAAGAGCTAAAATTAGAGTCCGGGCATTTAATAATATTCCACTCATTATTCACCTTTTTCTGGAATTGGATTTCCTTGTGCAAATGAAGTGATATCTGGTATTCGAAACTAGGGCATTTAAATCCAATGACTTCAGGACATTTTCGGTGTTTTCTGACTTTCAGTCAAACATTTTAGATGAATTAGCGTGGCACAGCCAAAGTCCAAAACAAGTCTTTGGATCACCTGTGCTTGAACCTAGAGTATTATTTATTACGTGAAAATCATAAACAGGGAGACAGACCGGCAGGAAATCAGCAGCTGTCACTTTGACTGGATTGCTAGGATAAAAAATTGCATTAATCGGTGTTCAGACTTCTTCGTATTCCAAGTTCGAGTTTGTTGCTCAGGATAAGAATAATCCGATGACTGTTTCAGAGAACCACGCAACTTGCAAATTACCCAAACCTGTGGACAAATCCTTGAATAACTTGTTGAAATCAGGATTCTTCTCTATCTTCAGAATAAAGACTGTTCGGATAACAAACGAATTCCCATCTTAACATGGGGATAGACGAGAATGGTTTGTCTATGATGCTCGTTTTCAAAACCTTGTGTTTTGTTTAATTAAAGGTATGTATTAAAGATTGCATTTAAATGTGCACCGATACAGATATCGGAAAGCATGAAGAAGATGGCGTATTCCAATTAATTGAACTCGGCTAGTCGAATTCATCTCATAGCGGCCAAGGTGGTTGCTATTTGAATAATAATCCCTTCATTTAGGTGTGACACACTATTCTTACAACTACTCCTGCTATCTTGTTGTAGATCTGGCACTAATTATACATGAGCGAACACGACTGTGCATGATCCGTGAACCAAACATACTGCGTTGAATCTGTTTGACTCTCCAACCAGATTCACCTTGATCAAACCCAGTATGGTAATAAACATACTTGTACATTTCCACATCCGCCCCCATACCTCATCAGTCGTGTTATTTACCAACATTTATAAATAAGCGTGCTACGTCAGAGTTGACTCCGTGAGTGTGCTGATCGGGGCTGCTGTTTTCCTGTATCGCATTCACCATTTAGTTCATCACATCCTCTCCACGGTCTCCATCCTTGTAACCCGTCTCCCGTCAGCCCATCCGCTGATCGAAACATTGTTCCTATCCCTCACACCATTGGTATCTCGATCTAGAACGCATTTGATTGGTTACTTGTCAACTCAGGTCCTCTTCCGTACGTGTTTGCCACCAAATTCATTTCGACCGTTGACCTTGATCGAACTGCACTCACGCACAATCGTTGAGCTGAATGCTTTGACATCCATTGAAGGCGTCCTTGGAAAGTAGAACTCTGTTTTTTTATCTGGCTGTTGTTGCAATTGTAACTCCAGTCTTATTATTGAAGGTAACCTGTCATTTGATTCTGTCTTGAAAGTGAAATCACGCACTCCTCAAGTTCTTCTCACGATTCGAGTTTGGTACATCTTGGATTCTAATAATAATTTGGTCAGAATAATGCCACATTTCAATACAATGTCGTCTTCTTTTTATATCGAGATCAATCGTTAGGAGGGATTTCAAGCCTGTCAAAAATGAACACGTCTATGAAACATTCAAACCAGTTTAGCTTTGACATAAATTCTGAACATGATCAATAACAAAATAATTAGGAATACAACAAGTAAATCAGGTGGAGGGGCTAAAAAATAATATTAACGGAATCAATCCTGGATTAAGTATGAATGATTGTAGTGTTTGCTCTGTATGTCATTATTAAAAAGAGCTTCATCCAAAGTACACGGCTTTGTGGTATAAAGTGGTCGGAAGTTGGATATACGCTTCGAATCATCGAGTTCTCCTCCAGTGGAATAGTGACCATCCCGCATCATTCTGTTGAGAATGAGTCTTTCGAGGACAAAAATGTAGGGATCATCGGTGGAGGATTGTTCGATTGGGACTTCATTGCGCATAAATGAGGCGATCCGGAAAACGTAATCACTATTCGAACCACAAGTACCACGAGCGGATGCTATTTGTGAGGCCTGTGGGTCACGCGTTGTGAGCATATAGTGAAGGGGAACAGATGATAGAATGGCATTTTAGGCACAACACTATTGTGGAAAACCTTGCCAAATAAGGAAAATTGTTTTATCAATAAAAATATCGATTTGGAAGACACCAGTAAAGAAGAAATACCCCAAACTTCATCGTCAGTTGTTCAGACACATAGTTGTTGAAAATCTGGAAATTGATCGTTTTTAAAATTGAATACTATTTCCGGTGGAAGGGTAAGCATCAGAGAGTGTTCCTGAATCTAATGGCGAACCGCTTTGCCGGTTTTTAGTCAAAATCAATGCATCACGTTGGACTGGTTATAACTGGACGTAACTTTTTACTACTTCCAGTGCAAAATTCTGCATTGTATATATTTTCGGTCTATTGTGATTTCCGCTACGAGTTGATATTCCATTATAGCTAACTGTTAAGACGCGTTATCCTACTGCTGATAATATTCTAAGGCAGTAGGGGCTGTTGTGAAATAACACGAGGCAAAAACCATCATGTTATAAAACGAATGGGGGAATGTATCAAATTTGTGCTTATTTTGATGCTAAGTACTATTTACTAGTCATCATCTGGAACAGGTGATAAACATACCTGAACCTCCAGCGGAGCTTCTCCCAAATAAAGGTCGCAGGGAATGTCAGCTTGGCTTGATCCCCGGAGGAGGGTGGAATCACACAACTCCGTATCGCTGATATGAACACAAACCCAGGCTTTAAATTTTGTCAGCATACCGGGTTCCGGTCGGATTGGGTGAAAGTCCGTCTCAACAAAGTCATAGCCGCCGTTGATCACCTCTCGTTCGTTGAGATGCTCTAGTGCAGCCTTAACTTCCTCCTGACCGACGATTTCATAAGCACATCCCCAAACACGAGATTCCGCTTCATCCGTGGGAATAATTGTGGCTACACGACCAGGCTTCAGCGAAAAGATTGTAAGATATATCAGAAGCGTAAAACGCGTTAGATCACACACATATATATAATGGTCAGTAGCAATAAACTATATAATTTAGTATTTTTCTATGTAACTCAAATCAAAGTTGGATATTGGTTAATTATTTATTTCGAAAATACACAAAAATGAACTTGTTTCCAACTTTGATAATAAGGCTCATGAACGAATTATGGAAGGAGATGATAGTATTTGAATCACTGTATGAAACAAACAGCAACATAAGTAAACCATAAAGAAATAATGTCAATAATTTCAATAACTAGAAATGCTGACACTGATGGTTTATCACAACTGGGAAAAAGTTCTGAACACAATATTTTTAACTTCAAATCATGCAAGCCGAAAGCGAATCGGTTTCTGAAATGATGCTCACCTTTTCACGTGTCCCGCGATGTGTCACGTTGCCCTGATAAAATCGTCTTACATAACCTTTGATAAAACCCACTGAACGTCTTCGGTACATGAAATTTGGTTTCCATATAAGTGATCCATAACCAAAAACTGCTAATCGGTCCTCTCCGTCGACTGTGGATTTTTGCATGTTTATAGTTGTGTTAGAACCGAGTCACCACTTAGTAATTAGCAGTTCTGCTTTTAAAGAGTCAGATGCTGTATAGCTATTCAACCATAGGTTGCATTGTTACTGGTTCACACTGATTGGCCGCTCTCGCTGATTGGTCCACGTACTCCACGCACATACATACATCTATACATACATCAGCTGACTTCCTTGGAACGAAAACTAGGTTTTTCCCTAACCCAAACAGAGTAATACAACCAATTGTTTTATATTCCACCGAAAACAAACCATTTTTATTTTTCCTGTACCAGTCATAACATCTAAATAAAGAAAATATTTTCATTTCCAGCTTCAACCGTAACATAACCTTGAGGAAATCGTGTTTTTCACGATTAGTCCAGGCGATACTGAACTCTTGACAGCAATTAGAGGGATAAATATAGAGAAGGAATTACGTGTTGTAACCAGTTTATCGCTTCAGGTTGTTCGATGTAACCAGTTGTAACCGTTGTAACCAGTTTAGTTTTTTGTGTGAAAAATTCCTAGATTTATTCTCTTCATTTTCATGGAAAAAGTTATTGAATATATTGCAAACCACATTTGATTTAAGGCAAACATTTATGATCAGCCAGTTTCAGGGTTTGAACCGATCACTGTTTTAAACATTTGAATTTTATGAGATAAAAAGAAAAAATAATTTTGCACATGACGAGTTTTTACCTATCGTATTCCGATTATGTTTTTGTATCATCGTTTAGCAATCCGACGGATTCCGAGCACCATCAGTGAACTGGCATTCACGGTCACCATTCGAGTTGCAAACAGAGCGAAAAAGACGCATCATGCGAAATCATAAAACAATTTGCTCGGTCTTTATTGTGTCCCGGTGTAAAGATAACTTCTTCTATGGAGACAAAACCAAAGAACTCCCTTGAACTATTCCGTAATCCATCGAAGAGGATAACCCATCGAATCAAGGGATATTTCACGTAACAAACCTCAGCGTTGTTTGAGAGGATTAGTGTTACAAAGCCTACAAGATCCAAAGAAACGGGTAATGTTCCGTGACAATTGATTTCAGNGCACTCAAATTTGTTTTAAATCGCCTGAAGTGGATGAAAGTTTATGTATTCAAATCTGGGGGACCATGGATTCTGGGGACAGAATCGCTGATCCAGACTCGAATATGTGTGGTATGGTATAGTTGTGCACACGTCTCCTTGATTTCGTTGCCCAGAAGTGTAATGGACCATACTGAACGGAACATTGATAAGAATAGCGGGTTCTTCGATCATTTATATGTGTAATTACCATTCAGATTAAAGAACAATTGATTTACAATTTATATAAACCCATATATGTACTTCCAATTTAAGCCGGTTTGTAAAATTATTTGGTTTATATATATATATATATATATATATATATGCTACACACAGGGTCATGCACTAAATAGATTCATGTTTTCACACCTTGGTTGTTCGAGTTTCCAAGAATAAGACTCAGATGTTCACTCTACTATACAGAATCTTATGAAGAGAAAAGTAACGAGTGGATTTAGAATCTCTACAATTCAATGTACAGTCCTGAAGTTGTGGATACGTGATATCTGTTTTCAAAACGCAGAATTTTTCTTTGTGTCCTCCACAACACTCATGTTTGAAATTAGAATAAAACTGCTGGAGTCAAACTGAATGTCTATCGTCATTGCAAAGAATGAATGTTATAATACCACAGCATCGGGCATTTTCAGCTTCAATACCCCAAACAAAAAAGTCCGTGTGCATCTGTTCAACAATCCATCCACATCCCCAAACAAACCGTTACAAACGGATACAAGTTTTAATGAAGAAAAACACACACCTGGCTATGTAATTATCTTCAAGCTTACTGAAATTCAATAAATGAAGTCCACCATGAAATGTGTTGACGAAAACGTGATGCACCAAAAAACGTAGTCAATCAATACTGTACCGGCTGGGAGAGAAGATTGCGTCTGTCACCCTTCACGTGACTCAAACGTGCACGTATCCTAATTCCGTCTGATCTGACGTCAATGGAGTGGGAGTTGTCCGGGAACTGGTGTGTGTGTGTGGGGGGGTTGCTTACCATTGCATGCTACCCGAAGTAAGCTTCGGGCCGATCCGTTAACTAGGAAAGAACAAGCGTGTGACTTGATGGGCCAAAAATAACACCCGCTAATACTGCCCATATTTAGGCACACTGTTCACGAAAATGCACAATATGTAGAACTAAAGTGTTGCTATGAATCTGAAAGCGTTACGAACTAGTGAAAACGTTCATGGATCAACAAAGGTTCGCCTTGCCCTTTTGCAAGTAAACTTACAAATAAAATTGCCCGTCGTACTCATGCGAACACTTCCCAATAACGCGCATTTGCAAAGTAGAAATGCATATACTAATGTTCTGGAGGATACCCGCGTAAATGAATCACTGGGATGATATCTTCACCGATAGATATTATTATTATGATATTGAACCCAAATCCAGGGACTATAGCAGGACGATCTCCTCAGGTTTGTAACGATCATGAATGTGTGTTATTGGCTTGCAATGTTCTTGTGTTTGCATGCTGCAT